AATGTAAATCATCTTCTTCCATTAGCAAAGGGTCTCACTTACCTCTTCAATTCAAGAAAAAATGCACATATTTTAAGAAAAAATGACTTGCTTAGATTAGCTATATAACACACAGGTATGTTGTTATAGTTGAATCTACTGGAAGTTCATGATTGTGATGTCATATCTATGTTTTTTGGAAGGCCCTTTTAAAACATCAAATCTTATAAAAATGTAATGGTGTTTCAGAATGCATTTGTGGGATAAATCCCAAACAGCATGACAGAAATAATGAATTTAGGCAGTTAAACTGCAGTTTATTTTGATTTTGTGGTTAATTGCTTGGATTAATCACTCTGCATCCTCTGTAGTTGTTTTCAGAAAATGCTGGCATAATGTTTCATTCTTAATTAAAGATACTCTCCCTGCATTTTTTCCCCAGGTTGCTTTCATTAAATGAAAAAAAAATTAGTGGATTAAGGACTCCAGCCTGGTGCTAGTGCAAATCTAATTAACGTAACACTAAGATCATTTAAATTGACACTGCCATCTAATTGGCTCTGAAATTGCCTTCCTACAAATGCTTGTGTTTCAGAGTTAACATGTGAAAAATAATAGGAAATTAAATCCCTTGTTTATTTCCTTTGAATGCTGGTAAATGTCTTTACACTACTACCTCCCCTGGTTTTCTCTTTTAGGTTGTTCTCCAAATCGAACAAAGTTCAAATGACAAAGTGGCAGTCAGATCTGCTGGTTTGATGAGCCACCCTCCACCAAAGCTATCACTGTCATTTAAAGGCGGAGCTGTTGACACATGGAGGAGACCATGCCAAGCTTAGCTGAGCGGCGTGTCATGATGGGATACAAGGCAGTTAGTTAATGTTGTGTAAAAGGATTTAGAGGATTTGACCCTATCAGCAGAGAGGGCATTCAGAAAGGCCGCGTTAATGACTTTAAATGAGTCTGTGCCTTAGGCATGCTAATAATGGAGCCATGAAAGACGGAATTTAATGAGGGGCTTTTATTCCTGCAAATAGACAACTTGAACTTTGAAGATGAGCGTAAGAAATGGCCGTGTTTACACTTTGCGGCATGAATGGTGACACAACGTGTTTTATTGCCTCCTCTGATTTTAAGGCATTTAGAATTCGTTTTTTAACTGAAGTTGGATTCGTTTTTCATTATTCATCATGTTTGTTGCATTTTTGTTTTGCCAAACCCAAATACAAGCTTTTAGACTGATTGCCTTGGACTGATTGGAAAATCCTTTAATGAGGGAAAACGAGGGAAAAATACGGTTAACTTTTTTCAGACATCAGATCGGATTGAACATTTTACCTTTTAACAAGATTAAAAATAATTACATTTCTAAATGTCAGAATAATAAAATATTTTACAGTGTATTACTTTTTTAAGATTATGTCTGGTAATATAACTATGCTTTAAAACAATAAAAAAAAAAAGTCTTGTGAAAAACCCAGGTGATGCCATAGCTTCTAGGTGATTCTGATGACTTGAGGCCCATCAGTTAACATTTTTTACCTTTACAGATTTGTTCGGAGTTTGATTTCATTGTTTTAATCTAATTCTAACTCTCAACTGGTTAAAAACTGTTTTTATTTAAAGTAAGTAAAACAAATATGTGCTCCTCTTTAAAACATGGATGTACTTTTAAATAATATTTCAAAAAAATATCTATTTGATCTATATTCAAAAGACAAACATTACTTTTGTAAAACCTTTTTGTAAAAACCCTTCACTTTGGTCAAACTTTATAGCTCAAAAATTTGAGTGCTGTCCCTTTAGTTAGTAATGTAGCAAATCATCTATAATTATTGTTTCACAAATGTATATTCCTTAATGTTTTCAAATTAAATTTTTTAGACATTCTGCAGCAAGAAGACCTTACCGCTATCATATTTAAATACTGAGTAGAACCCATTATTTTTTGTAACAGCAGCTTTGCCCATGATGCTGCATCACTGGTCACATCAATCATCAAGTGGTCACATTCATCAACAAATGAGAGTGATATTACAGTATGTGGTCATGTAACACCACCACTTTGAATTAGATATTTACTTTGAAACTAATTATTTCAGTTGATATTTCGATGATAAGGGAGCTTTAATGCTAGGTAAAGTGAAATTAACACTTAAAAAGAAATATACATGTTAATTTTGAACAACATAACATTTGAATTTGACTAAATAACATGGACATTTCACAGCTTTCAATTCAGAGCCACAAGTCGGTCTTTGCTTTGTCCTGATTTTTTTTCCATGTTCCACTGCCCCCCTCTGGTGAATTAGGTTTAGAACTGCAACTGACCCACAATCACTTTTTTTTCCTGTTTTTGTTTTTTTTACTGACATGGACTGAAATGCCACTCAGTGTGAACTATTACTCCAAAAGGTACACAAAAAGGTAGAAAACAGTTTGCACATAGCTTCCTTTGTCAAGATGTGTCCTGTAAGTTGAGGAATTTCCATCTGACCCAGACTGAGTTTGAACCAGAGATCTAGCAAGCTTCCTAGGAAGCAAACACCCTGTTCTCAAAGCACGAGGCCACTACTCAGTTGGACTCTAACCTACTTAAAGTCTCTCTTACATCAATCAAATACTGCCCAGTTTTTACCCTCCAACATCTTTCTTTTGCTTGTTCCATGCATTCAGTCCCATTGCTTCTATAGCATTGAATCATCTCCAGTCTGAACTTAAAATGTTGCATTTTCTTTCACTGGATTTATTTCAAGAGACAATTAAAACCAGAGAAAAAACACTATGAAGAAGTTTGTAGTGTTACTGTGAAATCGAGCAATGATCGTGTAGAACAGAGAGTCTGTATGAGACTGAAACAGAAAAGTTCCATTTAAGTAGAAAAGACATTAAGGTATTTCTTACTTTTAGGGCTGCATAGGATTTGAGTCCTTTCACTCTTTAAAAGAATGGATTTATAAAAAAAATTTGCGCTGAGTTCTGACACAGCTGAAAAATCAGGATGATTTCACACAGACTGATCCCTTCTTGTATTGATATTATGCAGTCATGGCATCAGCTTTCAGCTTTATTGTAGCCCAAACATTATTGAAATTAAAAAGTCCAACTAACCAGATGAAAAGATGTTTCTCTGTATCTGCTTCCAAGCTCTGTTCTGTCCTGAGGGGTTACATTCTTATACATGCGATTAATATGCAGTACAGTGATTGGAATGAAACTGATGCGCATTTTCAATAGCATAGGCTTTTTTTCAAACTAAACAATAACTTTAAATTAGTAATAAGCAAAGTTTATTTACAATATTCTATTTACTATCCATCAGCCACATTCCAAACACACTGACCAGCCCTCCTTCTTTTAGGTGGTGTATTCCTTTGCTTGGCTCTTAAAAGTTATATTTTAGCCAATTATGATACAAATTTCAGTAGTTTGAAGAATCTAAGATGCATCTTCCCTCCATAAAAGACATTTCATCCCAGCGCTGCGTGTTCCAAGCCCATAACATTATCAATGACCCCTCACACCCCCACCATGGACTGTTCTCAGGGAAACTTGAATGTTGATTAAAATCATTGGTGTCCAAAGTGAGGCCGGGGTGCCATTTGCAGCCTGCAGGATTACAGATCCATTACACGGATTGGATATTGGTTAGAATACTGACTAATTAGCTTGGGGTTTAAGGAGAGAGGTGGCTCTGTCTAGGAAAGAGATAGTTAAGCAGATGAGCTCTGTGTATGTTTTTATGCCAAAGGATGAATCAAAGCATATACAGTTAATAACAGTAGAAGCTGAACCAATAGCTAGGAGAGAAACAAAACTAAACTAAACACAGGCCTGACTCTATCATCTATAATCTGAGATGTTGATGCTGATATTTCTCTCCAAAATTGATTTACAGCCAAATAGGAAAAGACCAGATAAACTAGCTATGACAAGGAAATGCATAGAAAACATATAGTTATGGGTTGAACTAGCAAATACTGCAGAGTGGGAAAATAGAGATAGATCGAAGCAAAAGGAGTAAAAGCGGTGGCTATGTCCTCCTGCAGCCTAAACTTATAGCAGCATAGATATAGTATATAGCTTAGGATAACCCTAACCATTTTGGAAAGGTAGAGCCAAGGATAAATGTCTGTCTGGACTCACAAGTAAACCTTCACTACATTAATTATTGATCCATATTCTACACAATCCAGAATGCTCTACTTGTTTTAAAGCATTCTAAGTTTGCTGTTAAGCCTACAAATTTTTTAATTAACCTAAAAATCTTGCTGAAAAAGTTTAATTACATTAATTTATTTTAAAACGATAACCCTGGACCACAATGTGTCATAGCATGGCAAGAAGCCCTGTCCTTGCTTCCCCATCAGGCATGGCACTGGCACAGCTTGGCCAGGAAGGCAGATAGAGCTACCTGCCGATGCCTGCCAACTACCCCCCACTGGCCAAATCCTCTTTACTAGTTTCCACATAAGGTCTGCTCATCAATCAAAGATAAGACAGGGGAATAGTCCCAAAACCATGGATATCTACAGATATAGTAGAGGAACAATACAATGAATATGATGCAAACTGGGCAGGATTAAATTTTAAGCATTATATCTGTTGTGATGTTTGTTTCTATAGAATTGAGGAAACATATTGTGATCCAACATTTATACAAATGGACTTATGTGAAATGGTAAATGGTGCTCTTATTTTTTTTCCTTGAATTTCTGAATGTAATTACCAAGAAAAGAAAGCATTTGTTCTCTGGCTGCTGCTACAGCCTGCATAAATACGGAGGAGTGTCTGTCAGCAATTGTTCCCTTAGCAGTAATATATTCACTGACCCGCTGGTCACAGCCTGTCCTTTTTCCACATATTTACACCATACCAGCACAAGGGTTTGCAGTGGGAGGTTCTTGAAAACTTGTAATTTTCTTGTCTTTTGTGTTGTGGTGTGGTCTTACATGTAAGTATGTGTGATGATGTTTTTGTGACCCTTTTGTCTTTCTACCATGTTTATCTCTCTTTTGCAGGAATCAACTTGACGATAGGCTCTTCTCTCTTGGCCTTGAGGTCTTCTAGAGGGTTTGAGCCTCTTTGCCATAATGAAGGGGTTGGGGACCAACCGTAACAGACATCTGTCTGACTCTTGTGATCCCTCTCTAAATCACCCAGAGGCTCTCTACCACCAGAAGACCAGCACACTGCCACGCAGCCCTTACTTGCTTAGCCCCACAATGGACCACTACGGCACCATGGACCCCCACCTCTATCCTTCTGCCAATCCAGGCTCCCTTCCAGCAGACTGCATGTTGCCCCTCAACAATCAGCTTTCCAATAGCAGCACTTTTCCCAGCATTCATTACAACTCCTACGACCAGTCCGATTTCTCTCCTCCTAGTGACAGCATCGGCGGGATAGGCACAGGCACCATGGGAACATCTCTGTCAATGGGCATGGGATCAGGTATGGCCATGTCAGGGCTGGGTGGTAGAACACCTATGATCACAAGCGGCTCAGCCACCATATCACACCATATCAATAAGAGTCAAACCCCACCCAGTCTACTAGATTTTGAGAAGCAGCTTCCTGGAGGTCGTGACGGATTCAGCACTTTACAGTTTCATCGGACTTCGGCTGCTGTCGCTGCCAAGCAGCGGACAGACAGTCCTGGTCGCATTCGTTACATGCTGCACTCAGTGCAGAAGCTCTTCGCTAAGTCCCAATCCCTGGAGAGCCACAACATGAAGGGAAATGTAAATGGAAGGTCAACTGGCAGCGGTGGAGGCACCTCTTCCGGCACTGAGGATGGAGGGAAGCACAATCGCAGATCCAAAAGTAAAGATCGTGTTACAAAGTCTGAGGCGACTGCTAAAAGAAGGCCGAGATCCAACATGTCAGGGTACTGGAGCTCAGATGATTTGGACAGCAGTGATTTGAGCAGCTATCATAATACTATGACCATGATGACCCTTGGGCGTCCAAGTGGCCATGAAAGCCATAGTGGTCAGAATAAATACATCCACAGTGGCTACAATACTATCAGTTCCTCTAAAAGCAGCAATGACATGAAGTATCCAGCACTTCCTGGAGTTGGGGATATTGGTGGTGGACTTAGTGGACCAATGGGTATGATGATAAACGATACAGAGTATGTGAAAGGAGGATCTTGGTCCACACTGACCATGGGTCAACCAAGACAGGTTCTTCTGAAGGGTTCAACTACTCTGGACAGGTCAATGCTCAAGTCCAAGTCCTGCCAGCAGGAATTAACTCGTAACTATCTACAAGTTGGACGCAGGGTGAGTATGCAGTGTCCTGTTTGTTTGCTTGCTTCAAACACATAACCATCTATATTCATCACTATAATATATATTTACTTACACATCTGTTTGAAAAGGAGGTAGACAGAAGTATAAACCTATTTGACTTTGACTTGTCGTGTAAAGGTATTTAAACGCTTGAATTTATGTATTTTGTTACATTGCAACAAGTAATTTAAATGTAATTTATTTTTATTTTATTTGATAGAGGAATTCAAAAACTAGATAACTAAAGTGTTTGGAGGGCACCTGTATTTACATAAAGACATACTGCTTAAAATCCCTTCAAAATATACTGATGATTATTTTTGTTAGGCAATACTATGGCTATATATACTGATATAAATAACACTTTTTCTATGGCTTAACTATATTTTTGCATTACAAATAAATGTATGTGTGTAAAAACATTTCTGCAAAAGCTAGCTCTAGGTTATTTTTTTATTTTGTTCCTTTAATGCTCCATGTAGGGGGATTGGAGTAGCTCATTAGGTCGCGGTGCGGGTTTCAATGAGATCCCATGTCGGCGGATGCGCAGTGGCAGCTATGTAAAGGCCATGGGAGACATGGAGGACAGTGACGACTCAGATGGAAGCCCTAAACCTTCGCCCAAAAGTGCTGCTCGTCGTCAGAGCTACCTCAGAGCCACCCAGCAGTCTCTAAGTGAACAGCTACCCCCACATAAGTAAGAGCACAAACTAACATACGCATACTGTCGTCAGAACAAGCTCAAAAGAGGCAAACCAATCTTTAATTGTGCTGGATAAGGCTGTTTTTATTGTTTTGACAGTCCTACATCAACATTTAATGGGTGATATTTTAAAACTTAAAGCATCAGGACAGATTTGCCTGCACTCCTTTAAAGACAGATTAGTAATATCCAGTCAGTTTCAGCATGTTCAGGATGAATGCTCTACCCTGTCACAATAGTCCTAAGAAGGACACAAGCACAGAGCCCAAACTCAGATTACTCACACAGTAAAATATATTCGAGATATTCTTCTTGTCCACATGCTAGTTAATGCCACACCTCTGCATACTAAAACATTCATCTGGTCATTCAGCATTATCAGTCTTACTGATTTCAAAATACACAGTTTGAGTCCTGAATATATTTGAAAATACAAAGGTTCATATCAAGGAATATATATTTGAATACATTCAGGTATAGTTATTTGGGAAAATAACATATTTACTCACAGCTGTTGATTGTTAGACCTCTTAAGCTTTTTCTTTTCCCAACTTTATCTTTATTTGGATTTTAATTTTTCTATCACAAACAAATAAACATCCTCTTAGTCACTAACTGACATTAAGAAATAATAATTTTCACAAATATACTGTAAATATACATGGTGTTTATGAATGTATAGGGTGTCTTATTGTTCAACAAACCACATTTAGCTTTTAGCTCTAGCTCTTATTCATCTCCCATTTAATCTGTCTTTTCAGCCAAAAGTATTAAAGGTCTCCAAATACTTTCAAACTTGTCCTTTTTCCCACTCAGTAGGTATGTAATTGGTTGCAGAGGAAGGGCAGTAAACTTCTTTGTAAGCCACTCTCCAATACTCTGATATCCTTCCAGCTCTGCAATTAACCTTTTTGATTGTAGGGAACATATATCAATAGACATATGCATTTTTTTTTTTTTTTGTGAATTTTGAGGGTTTAGGATGTAGATCTAAAATTCTAAAGGATGGATCTATTGCAAGCTCTTTCTTAAAGCTACAGTGTGTAATTTTCAGCGACATCTAGCGGTCAGACTGCAGACCGCAGCAACATGAACATCTCCCCCCCACCGCTTCTCCCCCCCAACAGTACGGCGAGCGTTACAGGACAAAATGTCTTCCACGACGTCCACATCACCTACCTTCTCAAGTGATGAGGTTTGTTTACGTAGATAATTTTACAGATAGTATTTCATTAGTCTGTGTAGGGTATAGATTTCATGTAGACTTAAGATAATAAATATACCCGTTATTTTTTCTACATCGTTGTGACGTTTTGGTGAGCTGCTTTGCATGGTGATATAAACAGACGAAGTAATTGTAGTCATTAGTTTAACAGCGAGATTGTGTTCGCTGGAAGAATATATATTCCCCGTTTACAGAGTCCAAGTCATTTTGGTGGCACGGGGGTTACAAGGCAAGGAAGAGGGAGAGGACGAGGGCGAGGGCAGGGAGGGCGAGGGCAGGGAGGCCGTGCAGCTAGGGCCAGGCGAGGGAGGGGTGCCAGCGGGGTGAGAGCAGAGGAGGAAAGGCTTGAAGATCTCCAAAGGAGCCGCAGAGAAGTAACCGAGGTATATATCCAGAAAATTATTTTACAGAAAATTACTGAATCATTACCTGTGAAACGTCAGGGACATTGCTGAATAAGTATACTGGAGAGTAACAGCATCATCACGCAGCATGTTATTGTTTTAGACAGGTCTGAGCATCCTGTACTCCAAAAACTGCAGTGATATTAGACAATTGTGTGTGTAGGATTAATTACCTGTCCAAGAGAAAACTGGCAACTTGAGCGTCACTTTGAAAACCTATTTCCTCCATCAGTGACTTCCATCGTGTAAATGCCGTGCCAATGTTGATCCGTGTTTTTTGTCGTTTCTTGTCACGCTTGCGTTTATTCTCGTCGTGTTTCCGCTTCTTAGATGACGGGGGTTCGGTGTCCGCCGCTTTTCGTTGTGATACAGAGTAGGCATGATCCTCCATTCGTCTGATGTTTGGCCACACAGTGCCAAACAGTTTGCAAAGTCACTCACGCCTGCCGCCTTGTTCACCTTTCTTGTTACTGAGGCGCAGTATACCTGCTTCTTCTTCTTCTTTGGTTTCAGGCAGACTAAACGCTTCTCAGGCATAATACTGCCATCTACTGTTCAGTACCGTCTCAGTTCATCTCTCTCAACTTGCCGTAGTCATTTTCGAGCGTCATGGGAGATCTCGCAATCGCTAGTTTGTTGCCTCTGCGCTTGCCGTAGCGCAAAGATGTCAGCCTCCATGGCTGCGAGACCCGCTCCTATGTAATTATAAATAACGAATTCTAAGGCAACGCAAATATTATGGTTAAAAGGCTGAGCTCATAGGTGATGATAAATAACATAGTTATGTATAATATATTAAATTTCTGACTTTATATGCCTGTAATTATTACACACTGTAGCTTTAATTATTTCTTTTATAGTTTGTTTTATTGAAACACATATTTTTTTTATTTCCTTCCATCCCCAAATACAATGAAAATGTTTGTTTTTCTTCTCCATATTTTTGACAAACCGATTCCCATTCCTAGTGACTAACCTATTTGTAAGTCTTTCTTCCATGCTTTTAATTTTAAAACAGAATTGTTTGAGGACTTTGATAACAGAAATTTATAGATTTCCCTTTTTAGGAAATCCGATCCTAGCATGTCCTCTAGTGTTGGTTGGTTTTGATACATTGTTTTTTTTTTTGCTCCCACATAATTTCTAAGCTGCAGATTTTTCAACAAATATTTCCTGTGGATATTTTATTTGCTTCCAAGTAAGTCATATCTTCCTTCAGTCCGTTGATAGCCCACTGTTTTGAATACTGCATCAGCTCTCCCAGGACTGGAATCCTGATTTGTTTTTTAACTATTAGATTTCTTTTTTTTTTTTTTTTTTTCTCAATCAAATGAACTTCTGTATCTTAGAAAAGGTACAAAGGGTTTGAAAAATCCCCTTCCATTTCTGTCCATTGGGGGGCGTCTTTTAAACTGAAGTAATACCTTACAGATCTAAGCAGAGCAGCCCAATAATACGCTGATGAAGGTTCTCAGTCATCCAGGTCATAGTCATTCCGTAAAAATTCAAAAAAATATCCACTGGACTTGGTTTTCAAGATTTGAAGACGTTTCGCCACCTCTCCAGGAAGCTTTCTCAATTCAAATGTCTGGATCCGCAGTGAGTTTGAGTCTTATATAGACAAAGCCTTGTATTGCTTGGAAACATGCAAATGGTAACCGATGAATGGGTCGTTTAGTCCCATCGTTAGCCTGTAATATCTGATTTCCTTGCTGATTTGATCAAATCAGCAAGGAAATCCAAAAGACACGCAACAGAAGACAGCGATGGGAAAAAAATTAAACGCAAAAACATCACAATCCCTTATGTTGCTGGAGTGTCTGAAAAGCTCAAGAGGATTTTCTCCAAACACGAGATCCCAGTACATTTCAAGCCAAACCAAACCCTTAAACAGAGGCTAGTGCATCCTAAAGATAAAACCCCCAGACCGAATATGAGCGGAGTGGTATATGCTGTTCAGTGCAGCGAGGAATGCTCTGATCTTTACATTGGCGAAAACAAAACAACCTCTCCACAGACGCATGGCCCAACACGAAGAGCGGCCGCCTCTGGACAAGACTCCGCAGTACACCTACACCTTTTGGACAAAGGACATTCTTTTGAGGACCAGAATGTCCATATTCTAGATAAAGAAAATAGGTGGTTTGAGAGGGGCGTGAAGGAAGCCATCTATGTTAAGAGAGAAAAAACAACTTTAAACAGAGGTGGTGGACTCAGATTCCAGCTTCCAAAAACATACAATTCAATCATAGACATGATCCCTTCCAGATATCACCAAACCCCCCACCCCATTACAGAGGAACGAGGGACTTACCCGCTCCAGCCGGTGAACAATACCTCCTTAACGACCAACCCTTAACAATCATAGACAGGTTTCAGGTATTACAGGAGACAATCCCCCCCTTAATGGCAATCCCCCCTTTAACGACCGACCCCTAGAATCATAGACAGGTTCAGATATTACAGGCTAACGATGGGACTAAATGACCCATTCATCGGTTACCATTTGCATGTTTCCAAGCGATACAAGGCTTTGTCTATATAAGACTCAAACTCACTGCGGATCCAGACATTTGAATTGAGAAAGCTTCCTGGAGAGGTGGCGAAACGTCTTCAAATCTTGAAAACCAAGTCCAGTGGATATTTTTTTGAATTTTTACGGAAAGCCCAATAATACCATACTATATTTGGGCACATTAGGTTTCCTTCATTGTTAGGTAAATTATTTAAGGAAAGTTTTATTCTAGCACGTTTTTGACCCACAAGAAATTCAGAAGCATTTTGTTTTACTTTTTAAACCAGTCTGCAGGATTGGTAAATAATCTGAAAAACATGTTTTAGTTTTGGAAGTATCATCATTTTTTTAAATATTAATTCAACCTAACAGGGACATTGGAAGATTCATCCATCTCTTAAAATGATCAATTATTTCATTAGTTATGGAATCATATTTGAATTTAACAAGTGAATCTAAATTTGGAAGAATCTGTATTCCTAAATAATTAAACTTTGAGACTGATTTAAATGGTGAAATGACTGCAGGCAAATAATCTCTCTCTCCTTTTCGTCCAGCATTTTATTTTGTTGATTTCATAACCTGAAATTAGATCAAACTCACCAGTCGAGTTTATCAAAGCAGGGATAGATGAATTGAGACCTGAAAGAAACATAATTTTATCCTCTGCATATACGAAAGCCTATGTTCTTCCTAACCTATTGAAATTCCAGCTATATGAGAGTGTTTAAAAGAAAGTAAATTGTAAGGGGAATTTGGGCCATTTATTTTTTACAAAAGTCTAATAAGCCTAAGTCTCTGATAAATGTTAGAATTTGCTCTAAACATCTATGATTAAATGTTATGACATTTCAAAACTGGTGAAGACTAGATTATACAATTGATTGGAGATAAGTACTTTATTTTTACCATGATAGGAGAATCTAGTATCTAGTATACTCTGTATTGGCACAAGCGTTTGTCAATCCAAATAATTAAATTGAGATATTTCAATTGCTTCCCTGGCTGCAGCATTCAGGCATGCAGAGGATTTATGGAACTGTTTTTGAAGGAAATGGTCGCTCTCAGGAGCTCAGTGAATACATGTTTTGTACTATTACTGGATGACACTGTGTCCAGTCATGTACAATTTTCTTTTAAAAATAAAAAGCTAAGCAGTGACAGCTGTTAGTGCTTTATAAAAAACTGGAAGTGATTTGAAATTATTGGAACTCAGACTTAAAGGAAGAGGCAGCCTAAAACCAAAGAGAAAGCCCAGCAGATGCTGAGATTCCTGCCACACTGAGGTCATGAACTTTCTGTTGAGCCTTTTGCAACAGTCCTCCAAACTTCATGTGGCCTTTAGATTAGCTCAAGAATACATGCACGGAGAGCTTCAGGCAATGAGTCTCCATGGCAAAGCAGCTGCATCCAAGCATTACATCACCGTGTGCCATTGAAAGTGTCCGATGCAGCAGGCCAACACTGGACGTCAGCTTAGTTGTTCAATATTATAATCAACCATATTACTTAAGCATGAAAAGTCACTAATTGCAAATACTATTGGCAATAAAGTGTATTTTAAAAGGTGGTATATGTATATTTTAGTGCTTATTTTTCACAAACTGTGAAAATATTATGTTTGCCACCAGTGGTATCATAACTAGAAATCTAGTTTATTCACATACGAATATACATCTGAGAACAACAAAAAAATATGAACTGGTGCGACTCTGAGCTGTTCAAGGCCAACAAGTTTAAAAAAAAAAAAATCAAACATTCATCATTAATGAACAGCTCTATGTAAAAGTGCATAAATAAATCCAGCTGAAATGGTTGAAGAAACAGAGTTACTTGCTCCTTAAATACACCAAAGGCATCACTTTATATCACATACTTGATTCTTAGATTGATATTCTTAGACCCCAACCGTTCTCTGATCATCCAACCCTACTCTCTTTCGTTCTGCTCCAACTGGTTCGTGTTAGCAGCAGAACCTTGGATTTCACATTGTTACAGGGGGAGCTGGATGCCCTGTGGTCTCCACTCCACAGCATGCCCTCTCTGCACCAGCTGGGCAGGTCAATGAGCAGGTCAGTGGTAGGTATGTCAGCCTCTCCTCAGGGGTGCAGTGCAAAACACTTGGGTTTAATGAATTTTGGTCCATGACTTTGCGCTGCTCCCCTCAGAAAAGACTGCAGAATAAAAACTCCAATGCAAAAATCATTTCGTGCTTCCAATAGCTGCTGGAATATTGTTAGCTTGTTAGTTCCATCTGCTTTAAAACTAAACATAGCGTCATTTGTGTCTAGAAAAATAAAAGAATCAACAATGTTTGTGTTGTTACATCACACCATGAAACTTTACAGCCATATTATTCTCATAATGAATGAACACAAAGTATATAAACTTTATAAAGAATTTTTGATTACTTTCATCTTGTCGTTTGTGTACATTATTTGTTTGACATTGCTGAATCTGCATGCTAAAATTCTGCAATGGGTGACCCAAAAACAATGAAATTGAAATAGAGACTATTTAGAGTTTATGGATACATGTAAATTATACGTGAAAATGACAGAAGAGTTTTAAAAGGCACACATCTCCTCTTTATCTCTTTTTCAATTCCTCGTTTGCTGCTCAGTCATTTTAGGCATAAACTGATGTTTCCCAGCTGCTTCTCAGGTCATAATGAAAACATCAGCTTGTCGGTCTGTTTAACTTCCTATGCTTTGGACATCTAACATGAAAAAAAAAATATATCATGTCATATTCTATTTTCCCAGCTGTCTTCCGTCTCTCAGAGAGCTTTCTAGTAATCGCAGCCTTGACAACCTGGACTGCATTGGAGGACCAGGGGCTTTGGCACCATGGGATGAAGATGGCTTCAGTCAGGCTTGCAGCACCCTGGGCAGACGTAGTTGCATGGGACAGGTAAGAGATTTAGTTTTTTGTTTAATCTGTAAAAATAAAAATAAGTTATTTTAGCTTAAATAATAATATAACCCCCTAATATCAGCAGATTTTTTTTTATGTTATAATCTCATTTCTTATATAAGCATTGCATTCCCTGGCAGAATATTTTTTTGCACTAGAACCCCAAATGTCTGATAAAGATGGACTGAAGTAGTAAACAGGCACAATGGAAGCAACCCAGCAACTAGGTGATGACTCAACAGCTGGTGTTAGGCTGAACAATCAGGTAGCAGGGTCTAGGTTGAAGCAGTCAGATAATGGGTTAGGCTAGAAGGAGGCTTTGAGCAGGTAGATGACAGGGGCAGGCTTGAATAAGGCTTTGAGCAAGTAGATGATGGGGCAGGCTTGAACAAGGCTTTGAGCAGGTAGATGACAGGGGCAGACTTAAATAAGGCTTTGAGCAAGTAGATGATGGGGCAGGCTTGAACAAGGCTTTGAGCAGGTAGGTGATGGGGGAAGGCTGGAACAAGGCTTTGAGCAGGTAGATGACAGGGGCAGACTTAAATAAGGCTTTGAGCAAGTAGATGATGGGGCAGGCTTGAACAAGGCTTTGAGCAGGTAGGTGATGGGGGAAGGCTGGAACAAGGCTTTGAGCAGGTAGATGATGGGGCAGGCTGGAACAAGGCTTTGAGCAAGTAGGTGATAGGGGAAGGCTGGAACAAGGCTTTGAGCAGGTAGATGATGGGGCAGGCTTGAACAAGGCTTTGAGCAGGTAGGTGATGGGGAAGGCTGGAACAAGGCTTTGAGCAAGTAGGTGATGGGGGAAGGCTGGAACAACGCTTTGAGCAGGTAGATGATGGGGAAGGCTGGAACAAGGCTTTGAGCAGGTAGGTGATGGGGGAAGGCTGGAACAAGGCTTTGAGCAGGTAGATAATGGGGGCAGGCTTGAACAAGGCTTTGAGCAGGTAGATAATGGGGGCAGGCTTGAACAAGCTTTTGAGCAGGTAGGTGATGGGGAAGGCTGGAACAAGGCTTTGAGCAGGTAGATGATGGGGCAGGCTGGAACAAGGCTTTGAGTAGGTAGATAATGGGGAAGGCTGGAACAAGGCTTTGAGCAGGTAGGTGATGGGGGAAGGCTGGAACAAGGCTTTGAGCAGGTAGATGATGGGGCAGGCTGGAACATGGCTTTGAGCAGGTATCTGATGGGGCTGGAAGATGGTTTTGAACAGATGGAAGACGGCTGATGGCAAGCTTTGACCAGACTGGAGGAAGGTTGAACAAACTGTTGACAGAAAAAAGCAGTCCAGGATGTGAACAGAGTCAGAAGCCAGTGAGAATCCAGCGAGGGTAGGCAGGACAAAGGAAGGAAGGCAGTGCACACAATCACTGGACTTGTCCTTATAAAGGCAAAGGAGAGACAATCTGGCCAAGACTGAGAGAGGGAGATATTCATGGATATGATAAAGGCCGTGCAGAATGATGATCATTAGAAGAGTGGTAGGTAAATCTGCTCACTAATTAATATACCGGAACAAAACAAAGTGTGGTTAATAACCAGCTGGCCTAAAAACAATCAAACAGGTAGGATTCATGATCACTTACACGAAAACTCAATGAAACAGTTTACTGTTTCAGAGGTTTCTGTTACAAGTCTGTTAAAAGTCTATTACAAGTCATTCTAAATGCCTTTCTGCTTGTGCATAAAACAGCGGTTTTTGTTTCAAGTCTCATTTTTGTTGTTTCCATTTAAATAACTGATATAATGAGATTCCTCTGAACAAAGCATTCCCTGTTCACTGCTGTCTTGTATTAATGTAATTATGTCAAAAGACAAACGAGGGGACAATGAGCTATAGGTCTAATTTGTCCACTAACAGAGAAGACAATAGTTTGTCAAATAGAAGGTCAATCAGATAAGGATCGGCTGTGCAATCTTTTTCTAATTACCTCATTTTTTTCTCCACTTACTTTTGAGTTGCATGGTTTACAGTAGATTTAACGGTTAGAAGTTACTAGGTGAAAAGTGAGTTTGAAGTAAAAGAACAAACCAAAGGAAATGCTGTTGTCAAGCCTTATTTATGCCGCTTCACAGGCATCTACTAAAAATCTGTATTAGGTTAAATAGTCCAATGTCTGTAATTTCTCTGTCCAGTTGCGGGACTTGGAAAAAAGTCATCATTATGAAGACAGAAGCTCAGAGCCTACCTTCAGAGATTCCCGTCCGCAGGACATTTCGGAGCCTCCAGACATGCCCATGCCAACATGCTTCCGCTCCCGCAGCCACAGCTACCTTAGAGCTATCCAGGCTGGCTGCTCCCAAGATGACGACACCGCTTCCATAGACTCAGGCTGCTCTCCACCTCCGACTGACTCCTCCGTTCGCACGTATGGCACTGGCACTGGTAAGTGACTTTAAACTAAGCATAAAATATAGAAAACAGAGGTTCTGATATGGTCTATTGTAATAAAAACCTCTTAAATTACAAACCTGCTTGTTGTACTGTCCCACCCCACCCTCCTCCTTTATTACAAACACTTGGCCCAATTTCTTGCTGTCGTTTGTAATTTACTTTACATCTTTCCAATACTTTGCCCTTAAAGAGACAGTTTTCATCCAACTTTCCCTAAAGTATATTTAGTATATTTAGCTTAAATGCAGCTTTTGTACCCACACTAGACGACCTTTCTTCACAATGGAAGACATGGAAAGAACAGTTTTCATCTTACCTGATAGCCACTGGCTTGGATAGAGCTCCAAAGGAGAAACAACTTGCAATTTTTCTTCAGCGCTTTGGGACAGACAGACCACGCATCCTACCCCCACACACAGGTAACAACTCTAAACCTCTTCCCCTGAAAACATCCAGTCAGATAAAGTCCCATGGACTTCTAAATTATATTTAAAACAATAAAGTTAATTTGGACATCATCCTAAAGCATTGGTTCTTTCTTTATAAAAATAGCCACCCTAGTGAAAACATGTGTTCCCTAATAATACTGTAGCATTGACAGACATTTTTAAACAGGACTTTTTTGCATGAACTTAAAAAGAAATAAAAACTCCAAGCAGAAAGTTGCAGGTTTCACACAAACCATAACCTCCAACCCCCACTATGGGGGCTGCATGTTTAAAACTAAATGTTTTCTTTTATTTCTAATGTAATGTATATTATGGACTATATGGTGGCACAGTTTGTGGTACCTTTGCAGTACAAGAAGGCCCTAGGTTTAGATCCTGTTTGTTGGTCTTTCTACACGCTGTTTGTATGTTCTTTCTCTGTGCCTGTGCTGGTTCTCTCCAGGTACTAAGGCTTACCTTTAAGTTGATTGGTGACTTTATATTTCCTTAATGTTGGTGTGTTTCCGAGTTGCCCTGCAATGGACTTGACTTTTGCTTATAGTTTGCTGAGATAAGCGGGAAATGACCCTGACAGACATCCTTGGAAGATGGATGAATGGGTGATTTGTATATTGTACAACCTTTGTTATTCAGGTTTATGCTTAAATGTTTAAATGCTAAGATATGAGGGGCGTTCAATAACTAATGCCCCTGATAATTAATGACAATTGGCCCATAACCTATACCCAAAAGAAGCTTATGTATCACCAGAGGTACTTATGCCATTAGGAAAAGATATTTCAGGAAGTGGCACCTACAACTGCATAAAAGCAGTGAAAAAATACAAATAAAATTTCTGCCATAAGGCTGTGACTTTAATTCACTAAGTTTAGAGATAAAGCTAAAATATATATATATATATATATATATATATATATATATATATATATATATATATATATATATATATATATATATGCATGTGAAAGATGAAGAGTTTGTCCTGTAAGCGTTTCATACCAACAATCATCCACCATGTGGCGCTCTTTCTCCTTTTTTTTTTTTTGGAAATTATTTTACATCAAAGATGCCGTCGTTATAAAATATCTCACTCCATTGTTTTTTAAATGTTCTTATAGTCTATTTTTGCACATTCTACTCAGACTGCTTCAGATGTTTTTCTTTCTTTCCTTCCTTTTTTATTTTACATTTTCAGTTGATTTTTAGCGATTTGTAAAAATGGCCTTTGGAGTAAAGTAGATTGTTTTTTTGTTTTTTTTTGTTTTGTTTTTTTTTTTTTTTGTTTATGTCCGCTTTACCTTTATTGAAAATGACGACCTATAAAAACAAGTAGCTAAAGTGTGTAAAATTATCTAAACAAGCTGTGGCAATTTGCAAAATGTGTCCATTTCATGTTTCATCAGGTCAGTTTCAAAACACATCTAGATCTTGCTAAGGTGCCATTTGGGCCTCTGAACATTTAATTAAATAATAACAAGCAATTTGTCTCAGAAAACAAAAGCAAACAGAAAATGCTGCCAGTGTGGCAAAAATCTCGGATTCGCGCGGGCGTAAAGGTCTAATTTCAGAGGCGTCCCTGAAGGCACCACACAATGCCTCCTCCCATAGGAGAGCCTCCCCAAACAAACACAGACAAACCTCCATAGCCGCTTCTGTCCGACTTTAGTAGCAGGTTAAATGAATGGCTGCACTATTACAGCTGCTATTTAATATAGTTTACTTTTAATAATTACATGCGACGCTTGTCTCTGTCAGAAAAAGGAGGGTAAGTAGGTTTCTCACATTATTTTCTATTTTATTCTACTACTAACAAGATTGTCACAAACACTGTTCTATAGTTTAACTCTGAGCAAGAAGAATGAGATGCAGGATTGTCTTGTAAAATACTTCAGCGCTCTGTTTGAAGGTTTCATTGCTGTATATTTGAAGGCATCTCCTCATTGGTGCTATTAACAGATTCATACTTTGCATCTCATTATTTATGATTTTCTTTGGGTTTTATAGTAGGAAAATGTCCTAAAACGTTATTCTAAATCTGTTTATATGTTGCTTTATTGATAGAAACTATATTTAAGGAGTCATGCAATAAACAAGCATTTCAGGAGTTCACCTGCTGGACAAAATATGTGCATCTTAGGAAATTACTTAGATTATTTTTTTTTTTTTTAAGTGATTTTAAATATAAAACTATTTTATTGAGGAAATCATCACTGGTTTTAATAAAGGACACAGTAAGATGCACCAATCGCATGTTTTATGGCAAATTTGTGATGATTCTAATTAAATATTATAAGTAATAACATTCACAAAAGACCTGTACCAACATGCGTTAGATAGTTTTCTTTCTTTTTTAAAACAAGAGCACAATAAATCAGTCATTATTTTGCCAATGGAACAAGACAATTTACATTTAAAATAAGAAACAAAATTGCATCTAGTGCATATTATCTAATTATCTTATTTTAAGAGTAAAAGCACTAATTCCATTGGAAAACCATCAGATTTACCTACCAATTTTCGGAAAGACCCGCCTTCTCCACTTTTAAACAAAAATGCACATGCACAACCCTTTACCCGCCTATTAAAAGGGTGTGAGAGCATGCACGAGCCCCCCGCTCCTCGTACAAACTCTGTTTAAAAGTTGCTGTTTGCATCGTTCATACAAGATCACTTTAAAAAGAAGATTTGCAATTTTTGCACCATGTTTTACTCACCATCGGTAAACGAAAATCTGGACAAACACATAGAATGGCCTTACATAAACCTATCACCAGAATGATTGATGATAAGAAGACCACTTATTTTGGTGATCCACCTGGAAAAAGAACATCCTTCGCTATACCATTAAAGGAATTGTTGTGGATGTTTTAATAGTACTGCCCTGAACACTTAAAAAGAAAATGCCTGTGAAAGAGCATGCATGACCCCATTTCTCCTCATGCACGCCCTGTTTAAAATGTGCTGTTCTCAATGCTCATATAACCTTACTGTGTCCATATACAGCGGGGACTATATGGTGGACTTTATAGCAAACTCAATTTACTGACTGTTCAGACAGATGATTGGTGCTTTTTGCCCCATTGGTGCCTGCGTCATCTTTGTTATTAGTCGCTGTGACAGCCTATGGCGACAGCGGGCCGCTGTGACAGCAAATCCCATAAAGCTTTGCGAATTGAGCTCTCAGCACAAAGCATTCTGGGATATATATATATATATATATATTAGAGATGTCCCGATCCAGGTTTTTGCACTTCCGATCCGATACTGATATTGTTTTTGGACTTCCGATCCGATACCGATACTGGCCGATACCAGCCTATCCGAGCATGTATTTAAGTTTAAGTTAAAGTTAAAGTATTTAGCCTTAGTTGTAAGACTCATGTTGAAAAGGGTTTTAGTACTCTTGATAACATCTAGCCAGCTAAATTAGGTGAGATTGAATAAAACACAATGATTGGTAACAACAAACTTATCTGTTTATTAAGAGATAAACACAAACTGGACAAAATTATGAATAGCAATCTGAAATTGCACAGTGAGCAGTAAAACCATAAACAGTTAAAGGTGCAAGTATTACTGTAAGTTTTAATAAAAATGCAAAACAGGGGAACACTGGCGCAAAATAGTGGAATGGATTGTTTCAATCGGCGAAACTGGAAAATACGGACCGGATTTTTTTTTAAAAACTGGATCAGCAGTCCATCCATCCATCCATCCATCCATCTTCCTCCGCTTATCCGGGGTCGGGTCGCGGGGGCAGCAGCTTAAGAAGGGAGGCCCAGACTTCCCTCTCCCCAGCCACTTCTTCCAGCTCTTCAGGAGGAACCCCAAGGCGTTGGATCGGCTGTCTGGATCGGCAGTCTGGATCGGCATTTTACATGCTTTGCCGATACGCATTTTTTTGCCAATATCGGCGTCCCGATCCGATACGTGGATCGGATCGGGACAAGCCTAAAATATATATATATATATATATATATATATATATATGGGGCATTTTTTTTACACATCTTGAAATATACTATTGAATATCAAACTTGTTAAATTGTTAAATCACTAATTGGTTTGACTATAGGGGGATCTTAACAAACCTTTCTGCAAATAATTATTATGGATAGACTTTACATCAGTAAGGTGATGCATTTTATAAGGGGTGTACAACTTTTTTTATTTCCGATGGGATATAAATATTGCAGCTTTCAGAATTGGCCGATACCGATGTTGACACAATACGATATTTATATGAATCATAACAGCTTCTGTTTCTTATTTTATACTATGGATTGTTGGAGAAAAAAAAGCAAGATCAAGTAATATTACTATATAACGAACAGGCGTGTTGGCCTCCTGTAGGGGTCGGCAACCCAAACTGCTCAAAGAGGACCAAAAAAAACCAAAACACAAATCTGTCTTGAGATGCAAAAATGTAAAAGTCATATATAAGCCTTGTATGGCAACATGGGGTCTAAGTGTACTAGCTCACTATGAAAAAAGGACTACACTGGCTTAAATATATAATAAGCATTCATAATTAAATGTTTATCCTGGAACAAATGTCACATAGTAGCATGAAGTGAGTGAGGAGCAGTGAACGCTCTCACTGTGTCATTTTTTGGAAGTCCAAGTCAAGTCTGAAGTCTTGAGAGCTCAAGTCCAAGTCAAGTCTCAAATCTATTTGCGTGCTCGCTTGTTTCTCCTTGTGTTTTCATCTCCTTCACTGAGGTGGTATAGCTTAAAGGTCACTATTAAATCTATGGAATGATCATTATCTTAAACTGCTACATGACTGTGTGCAGGTAAGGCGAGCGCCGATCAGTCAAGTTATTAAAACAAAAAACGCTTAAAAATATATATATTGTTCACAAGTCGGAAATTGCGAGTCTCGGACAAGTCTGAAGTCCTTAAAATGCAAGTCTAAGTTGAGTCTGAAGTCATTAAATATGCGACTTAAGTGCGACTCGAGTACAAGT